GAACTTGAATCAAACGATCAAGAGGACCTGTAACACATGACAGGTCAATGCCCCAGGCTAAACGTATAAGTCCAGGGAGAACAATCTCCATATCATGATCTTACCAAATTTATCCTAGTTAATTATATCTAAGCCTACCTCTAAGCAAGTGTCCTAAGAAAGGTAGACTCATGACAAAATCTCCGTCTATTAAGAGTGGACTGCCTGAATCGCCATCTGTCAAAATATAATCTATCTCCCTTAAACTAAGAAAATTTGGGCAGCACTTCCCGTAGGAAAAATGTCTTTCCAGAATGTATATAAGTCCTAATATGAAAGCAGAAATAATCTTTAATTTTGGAAAGTCCAATTTTGTCTAACTCCTTGAATTAGTAAAAGTTTGGGCAACACTCCCTTTAGAAAGGGAGACTTCCCTGATTTATACTAAGTCAGATGTGAACTCAAAAGACAACTTGAGTTCAACTTAAACAGGATTTAACTAACTCCTTAGTTTTGCAGAAATTTCGGCGGCACTCCCTTGAAAAAAGTGCTATTCCAAAATTTATACAAAGCGTTCAGATTTTGAAGGTAACTTTGACTTCTCAAAGTTCAATTTTGTCTAACTCTCTGAATTAACAAAAATTTGGGCAGCACTCCCTATAGAAAATGAAACTTTTCAATTTTTTACTTAGTCAGATATAAAGAAAAATTAAGTTGAAGTTTAACAACTCAAAAGTTGACTAGCTCATTGGATTTATAGAAAGTTCCGCAGCGCTTCCCGTAGAGAAAGTAGCTTGCCAAAATTTAAACAGAGCCAAGTATAAAAAATGATCCCAGAAAATGCAAGAATTGACCTAAGTAAAGAAAGCTATCATAGAAAATGCAGGAACTGAAACTAAACTCCTATCGCTCCAGCACATGGCGAGCAACTAAAACAACTATCTATCCAACTGAAACTCATATCAGGTAGTCACCTCACTCAGACACAAGAAAGTCAAACCACAAAGGTAAATATTCTCACCATCCCAAGTTCATCTTGACAAACAATAGTTCATAGTCTTTCAGTGATATAACCCTTTATACCCAGCTTACATAAGGCATGAAGTCAGACCACCCCAACTTATGGAATGTGCCGAACTTAGCCGACAAATATACACAAAATAGAAGGCACAATTACTTTCCTCTTTTTTGGGCGCATGACCTGACCATTCTAGTCACGCTGAACTGTTTAAAATATCCAAGTTATATATACTTGTCTTCACCTTTGTCTTCTAAGGTTGCATATGACTGAATCAACTCAAGTTCAGTCTGCCCCAATTTACCACTAGTTTAACTCTTAGTTATACTCTCTTTAAGTTGTGATACGACTATACTCAGACCACCTAAGTTTATAGAATAGTCTAATTAGCTCGTTCTTAAATTAAATAATAATAAAGTATATCCAAGTTGTAACCATTGGGTTCTAGCATGTGCGAGGCTTTTGAGCCAGACCCCCTGAACTTACAGAAGGATTTAACTCTCTGCCAATTTCATTTCTCTTTAAATTATTATGTGTGTGAAAACGAGTCAGATCCCCTGAACTTACAGAAGGATCTGCCCCTTTGCCAAGGTTATTTCTTCAGAATAAAAAACAGGAAGAGGCTGAGCCACCTAAACTTATAGAACAACTTTGACCTCGTCGTTCAGAAACCAATGAAACAGATAAATCCCAAGTAAAAGCAAGGAAACCCAAGGCACCAAAACTTATTGAGACGTGTAAGAATTTGAAGTCCGTCGGGATCTGAACTTCAAGAAATTGTTGGACGGCGAGTTTGGCAGACAGGTGTATGTCTCCCACGCAATNAGACGTGTAAGAATTTGAAGTCCGTCGGGATCTGAACTTCAAGAAATTGTTGGACGGCGAGTTTGGCAGACAGGTGTATGTCTCCCACGCAATTTCGCCAAGTCCGGATCCCGACGAACTCCATGCAGCTGCTCGAACACGCTTCGCAACCTCGGTCTGAACCACAGCGTGGGACGTGGAAAAATTTGAAGTCCGCAGGGATCCGAACTTCAACAAATTGCAGGACGGCGAGTTTGGCAGACAGGTGTATATCTCCCACGTAATTTCGCCAAGTCTCCGAACTTCAGGTTCCTGCTGGCATGCGGATCCAAACCTCGCTGGCACTAGTCCTTGCACACTCGTCGAGTCCGGACCTCGGTGAACCTCGGAACCGTGATAATGCGAAGTCCGCCGAGATCCGGACTTCTCCTGCACGGTTCCTCCCACAGACGTCAAGTTCGCACCCCAGCGACTTTGCTTGTCTCATTGTGCAGGTTSAGAACGCGGGGTTTCTAGCTCTGGGGGTTTGGCACAACTTTGTATTTGAAAAAATGTGTAGTCCGCCGGTTGTTTCTCTCCCACGAGGTCTCGAGAAGTTCGGATCCCGTCAAACACCAGGTTCCCCTCTGCCCCTTTGCCACAACTTTTGTTTTGCAAAAATACGAAGTCCGTCGGGATCCGTACTTCTCGTGCAAAGGTTCCTCGTCCCATCGTCGGGTTCGCCTGCTGTGTATCTCCCGCGCGATTTCGCCAAGTTCGGATCCCGACGAATTTGAGCTCTCTTCCTTTCGCAATGCATGTGGCAGGAGATGTTCCTGCAGGGTAATGGATACGAACCTGCCGTGCACGGTTCCTCAGACAATCGTTAATTTCGGATCACGGCGGACTTCGGATTCGACAAAATGCGAAGTCCGTTGAGATCCGAACTTCTCGTGCACGGTTCGTCGGAAAACCGTCAAGTTCGGACCCCGGCGTACTTCACCTTTCGGGTGGTGCGGGTTCWGACTGTGGACTTTCTGGCGACCGGTGGATTGCCACAACTTTTTATTCGTAYGAAAGTGAAGTCCGCCTGGATCTGAACTTCRTGGCAGTTTGGGACGTCGAGTTTGGGAGACATCTTCGTCTTTCCCGCGCAGTCTCGCCAAGTTCGGATTCAAACGAACATGTTGTGGGGCGTGTTTGCGGCTGGCCTGTGGGCCGGTAGATGTGAACACCGACGAAGCCGACCACCTGAAATCGGATCTTGGGCCATACGCTCTGTCTAATGCCATGGGTCGCACATCGCGAGACATGACGCGTTTACGAGTGTCTCCGCGCCCGTGTGTGTCGTCGGGCATGTGCGCGTGGTGTGTGGTGTGCAGGTTGCATGATGGAGGGGACCTTCTCGAGACCACGCATCTTCGAATTGATCTTCTCGACACCACAGGCCATGAGTGCCGAGACGCACATTCGCTTAGCAGAACCTTTTCGTCCTTGTGCGAAATTTGTGCGGCATTTCAACGGTGTGACAACGATCCACGGAGCGACTGCAGAGGACTTCGACGAGGACCCATGAATGACTGTCGTCCCGTGCATGGACGCGCATCTTGTCGACTGGGGCGAGGGCAATTGGGACAATATGGAGAATCACTGCCCTTGGGCAAGCCAGTACAAGTTCGCRAATATGTTGGAGTTCGGGGACCTCATCCCACTGCCTGACGCCGTCCTCGGACATAAGTTCCTGAACCATATGTGCAAAGCACCAAGCTGCATTAGCCGCTATTTCAGTCGCCTCGAGTGCCACAACGTCAGGTCGTCGCCACGAACTTGGGGGGGCTCGCGGAAACAAGAGTTGGTGGACTGCGCTCGTCGCTGCTCGTTCCTGGACCAGCACCCGTTCCGTGGCCCCGGGATTTCTCCACGAGCCGTATCCTACTGCTGTGTGCGGTTGACTGTGTCCGGATCTGATTTCGCCAGAGTTCTGTGTGTCGCTGCTTCGAACAAGAGCAAAAAACTCGTCGACGCAGTTGTGCTCGTGTCGCACAACGAGGTTGTGATTGAAGGGTCCGAATTCGTGCCAATGAGTGGGCCTGAACGTGTGGATGGGTGGCCAGATTTGGTGATAGCAGGTCAGGTTCGAAACTACTCGTTGTGGCATGAGGTTGAGGAGAAAGCGGCTGACATACGGGACTGCATAGGAAACTCCTTGGCACGACCGGGGGTGTTTGTTAGGATGAAATACATGCCCGTTTTTTTGGAGAGTGCATCGATCGACAAACYGCAGACCCGCGTATACGGATCGTCACTAAATGCTTTGTTTGGCTTCGGTTCACGACGTCGTCCCGGGGGATCCCCAAATGTCGCCGCATCCGAACCGGTCTTTAGTCCTTCTGTTTGAGGGAAAAGAACGGCGAGGGACGAGATGCGGTTGTGCTGCCTAAAATGTCAGATTTGCAGGACTGCAGAGAAGTGTGAGACTCCGYGGTTGCTGGTGCACGTTGCACCGCGTGCTTGTCGTGCCCTGACATGACGAAAGTCATGTTGGACAAAAGTCATGTTGGAYGTCCGTCTCTGACGCCGTCTCCTTCCATGTCGTGCCCTGACGAAGTTCGGATCTCGGCGAACTTCGCGTTCTGGCCTCWGCGTTTATTTGTCTCTGGTGTCAATGACGTCGGGCGGGCCGCGGGAAAGACCCGTCACCTCGGAAGGATCTGCCCGTGACCGGTTTCCGGCCGTCCACCATCAACATGTGCCAAACAGTCGGTCACTGTCGTTGCGCGATGCAAAAAGCACTCTTCGAGATCCCTGTCGCAAGGTCGCGCGAGCTTCGCGTTTCCTGAAACTCGTTGGAGATCCCGGTTGGCGGGCCCTCTTGTTAGAAATCCCGTTGACACCTTGCTAGGACACCTTGATAGGACCCCAACTTTCTGTCTGTCTCTCTCGCAGCCTCTTGAAGTTCGGAYCCTGGCGAACTTCCTGTGACGCCTGTGTTCTGAACGGGCGCTGGTGTTGATGATCCCCCGTGGATTGCGACACGAGTCAACCCTGATCCACAACTGCCTCTCSAGGGACTCATACAATGTTGTCGCGGCTGCTACGTTCGAACTTGGCTTTATCCAATGCCAAGCTGCGCATATCAGAAGAAGTTCGGATTTCGGCGAACTTGTCCTTCTCGACCGGCCTTTTGTGTTAGTGCGGMCTTTCCGGGTCGTGGTTCAGTCCACGGACCGTGTGTCTCTGACGCCATCTCTGCCTGTCGCATCGTCCTGAAGTTCAGATCCCGACGAACTTCACGTTTCGGTGGGTGCGTTGGTTTGTCTTTAGACAAGCACTTTTAGTACGGATCTCKGCGAACTTCGCGTCCTGAGCTGTCCGGGTTCCTATTGCTAAACGGAGGACACTGCCCCGTCCAACGCGGGCTTTGTGCGTCACCTCCCATCCATTCCTGATCCGGTCGACATCCGTGTTCCGAAAACACCGACGTGGTTGTCGCCCGGCTGCATGAAGCGTGTGCCCTTGTAAAGAATGATCTCGTTGCAGGTAAGAGGTCATTGCTGGTCTTCGCGTTCGAAGTTCGCCGAGATCCGACCTTCGAGGTCCTCGGATGGTGTCATGTGTCCGACGTGTTGAGGGCAAGGTGTGCCTCCTGTATTTTTCGCCTGCGTTGTGTTTTGCCTGCGATTTGACGCTCGCTGGTGTTTTATTTGTTTTTTGTTGTCATCTGCAGACAATATGTCTTCGTCCAGGGGCGAAGGGGAGCCTGCGGTGACCTCCGGGATGGGATCTGGGAAAGATTCTACAAAACGGTCGTCTACGACCTCGAGGACGTGGTCCGACCACGCTAGGTTGAAATGGTTTGCAACTGGTGCTGTGGGGATGCATCAAACCCAGCACAACAGCCGTGTGGTCCTGTGATCTTCGTCAAAGCCAACAAGCAGCATAGGGTGCTGGGGGCTGTCTTGCGGTGGGAGAATACGAAAGGCAGTTGTCGACCGTTCTACATAAAAAATGTCTACGGTGCGAAGGGGAACATTGTCRCCGGTGCCAAGGGGGCGATTCTGGACATGCGTCTGTTCGAGGGGTTCGGAGCGGGTGCTGCGAACACCCCGTTCTACAACAACCTCTGGCGGCAGGGCGGGTTTGTTTTGGGTCGAGAGTTATTTGACTTGTTGGAGGACAAGGACATCGCCCTCGACGTCCCTTGCGAAGTCGGCCCCGACTTGGAACTGTCAATGCCTTTGCAGCCGTGCGGCGGTTGTGAGTCGAGCGAGGCAGCGGGGGAGGGGGGGGATCTCGGTTCCGGGGAGGCTACACAGGTGCAGCGGGAGGATGCCAGAGGTCAGTTTGACGACAGGGAAGATGAGGCGACACCGCGTCCGCCGTTTTCGCCGTCGAGGGAAAGAGACAAGTCCGTGCTGTCCATACCTGGGGTCCGGCAACAGACCGCAGCGAATCCCGGAGAAGAGGGAGTCTTGTGTGGGTCTGACTAGGAGCCTGCCGAGGGCCATGGCGCGGAAGGCGAGGCCGTGGGCGGGGAGAGAGCGCAGGGCACTCCCCAAAAAAGGAGGGGAGAATGTCAAGAAGACTTAGTGGGCTCTTCAAAGAAACAGAAAATCAAGACCCCGAGGACTGCGGGAGAGAAACGGAAGGGGAGGCGAGTGGAAGAGGGTCACCCGGGTAGCAAACGTCCAGCTTCGAAACATAAACAGCCTGAGTCGGGACCTTCTACACCACAGCCTGCCATCGACGTGGACGCCGGRTACTTCCTGGAGTACAAAGACGGCGTCAGGACAAGGCGCGAGTTTGAGATCAGCCCGGCTCAGATCGTCGACATAAGGGAGTGRGAGGATCTTTACAACCARCGGTCGCTAGATCCCGTCTTCGTGGAAACGATAAGGGAAGCAATGCGGTCTGCGTTCGAAAATAAAGAACAGACRTACGAGTTACCGATCTTCAAGCTCGCACCACTGGTGCTTTAAAAACCAACACTTGGACCAAGGCACAACGTCTGAAGCCGGAGGAGTGGAAGGACGAGCTGGCRGGAGAATACTACTACTACGTGGTGTGCGGGCAGCACAACGCGGCTGCAGCCAGGTTGCTGCTCGGCAGCGAGGTGGCCAAGAAGTACAATTTCGAGCGGTGGCCGACACAAATGGTGTACTTTCCTGACGATGACTTCGAAGCGTATTTTCTTGTTAGTTCASAGGAYAACAAGAAGGACCTCAAGGCACCTCCCAGACAGTTGAAACTTTCTATGAAAGACATTCGATGATAGTGGAAGCATGACGGCTGCCCAASAGCTGTGATGGGGAACCCTAGCRGGAAACAAGATCAGGTCCGGGATTTGCRTAAGTTTTGTACAACGACGCTCCATAAGATGCCTCAAAACARCTTATGGCTTCTCGCAGATCAAAAGGAAGAGGAGGCCGTTAAGAAGCAAAATGCTGCCCTGCGTTCTTACTTACCTCTGGCGATGGCCGGAGAAAATGTYTGGAAACTGGCCGTGGAATTTTTTGAAAAATGGGAGACGGGTAGATTGCAAAGCCACGAYGGGGCRAAGTGGATGGTAAAAAAGAAGAAGGTCAAAAACGTAAAGCCTAGGGTCGCCTACATCCACAACGACAAATTGGGCAGAACGGAGGTGGTGTACAACATCCCCGTAGACCCGCCGAATAAGAAGGGCAAAAAGGAGAAAGAGGAGGGCGATTGGTTCGTGCAAGTGCCAGACCCGGACGCGCATTGTTGGAAAACAATGGAATCACTCACGGACAATGAGAATGTCGTGTTCTGAAAAAGGTGCTTGCTTGCGAGGTCGTTTGGGTCCGGGCCGGCTTCCCGTCGTTGGCGAAGTTGGAAAAGCTCAGCGTGCAGGACATGGTGCAGCTCGTGAAGTGCGACCGCGTGCTGGTCCGGTTGTGGAATTACTACCAATTCAAGCACGAGAAGAGGCCGGACGCGGACTGGATCCAAAGGTACCCTTTCCTGAAATCGAGGTCTGTCTTGTTCAAGAAGTTTGAAGGTCAGGGATTGGATGACGAGTTGTGGGATAACAGCAGGAAACACGTTTCCGACTCGGCGCTGTTCAAGGACTGCCCGCCGTACATGGGTTGCGACCAGGACAAATCGATTGAGGTGAAAGAGAAGTTGGCGGGGCACAAGTAGTTGTCCGTCGATTTGAGAAACAAGGTTCTCTCCGTGTTGAATGGAAGCAGAGTGGAGAGCCGGGAAGTCGCACTTGCCGAAGGCGTCGTTCACATTAAATGGAAAGACACGGGGGACATGACATCCATCGCGCCGTTCGCCAATGACCCTTTAGAGGCGGACATCAGGGGCGCAGAGCTGAAGAAGGCAGTGGCTGCCACAAAGAGCCACACGTTCGTCCTCGATCTATGCGAGCTGGTTGCCCTCAAACTGTGGAAGCCCCAAGCATGGGAGACTTTGAATTCCTATCTTCAGACGTGGTGTCCCTCGCATTGGACTCTCGTTGTTTTCGTGCCGCGGCAGCACAACTTGCCGTTTCTCGCCAGCATGCACCATCTTTCTTTCGTCAAGCTGTTGGAAGGGAAGTGGGTGCGGAGAGTGCAAAAAAAAAAAAGCTTCCCCGTTGGGAACAATTTGTACATGGAGGAAGACCGCATGTACATCCTCTTCAAGGGTGACGATCTGCGCGTCAACACGTCTGTGGTCTACGAGGGAAACCTGCCCACGGGTGCCGCTGCTGCGGTGCGATTGCCTCAGAGGGTCACCCAGACTGATGTGTCCGAGATTCCTTTCACGCCTTGCGACTGGTCGCTGGTGGTGCCTGAACGACAGGGCAGCGTCTACGGGGATATGAAACGCAATCCGACCCAATTCGTCGGTCTTCTTGATTTTCTTGGCAAGAAGGGAGAGGGTGTCGTGTTCCTTGGGAAACCGCACGCGCGAAGCGTCTGGGAGCTTCTGAAGGCCGGCCGGCACGTTGTCGCAATGGAAAGGAACTCCGACCTCTTGCAATTCACGATGCAGGTGGTGAAAAGCGAGGTCAATTTGGGTGGGCACAATTATGAGTTCATGGTCGTGAGGCCAACACGGGATAAGGTGTGGAGCAACAAGACGGATATGTGGTTCAAGTTGAGCAAGAGAAAGAGGAACAAGATATACGATTTCTTGTTCCTTCAAACGCGTCCGAGGAGGGACACTGACGCCGAGTACATCCGCCGGAAGGACCACATGTTGGCACTGCTCGACAACTACCACTTCGCCTCCCGCATGAACGCGAAAACGTTTATCGAAAGGCTGCAGTCGCTGTACTTCGTGGAGTCCGAGGAGCAGTTGAAGTTAGCCAGTCACGCTTCCCTTATCTCCACTGACGACGAGGAAGCCATAGGTGTGGAGTTTGTCGCCAACGCGAAGGAGGAGGAGAGCGACACRGAGAGCATCGACCTGCAGTACGATCCGCCTCCGGCGGACCATGGCCGAGGGTCCTCGTCGGACGGTCCATCACCAAGCGCTGCAGCCCTCGTGTCACCAATGGCCAAACYGGCGCCGGGCACCACGCCGATGAAGTTGCTGGAGAGACTTAGAGCTCTGGCCGCCCCCCCGCCCGCTTTGCGTCCCGGGTCCGTTGTCCCGCCCGATCATCCGTSTTGGAAGGATGACAACGTTCACTTCCTGCTTGAACCGCAACGTCATTCACYTGAGCAGGACTGGTGCCATGACATGGTTTGGCATCCGGGAGTCATCCAGCCAGCGATACGAAATGGCGAGTGGGTCATGGCCGTGGCGATCTCGGGCGCGGGATGGGTGTCATTCCCACGCGAGTCGAAGTCCAACTTCCTGCACCTCACGAGGATTTCGGTCCTCCAGAAAGTGAAGGTCGAAAATGACACTTTAGCACCCGGCGACCTGTCCCTCATTTCCACTGTCGGTCGACTGTTCGACGAGCTTCAGGACAAGTGCTGGTTGGAATTGACGGACGACTACTACGAGCTCGACATGAGTCCATCGAAGGGCATGGTGGACTGGAAAGTGCCCCCTCCCAGTGGACCGGACGGTGGTTCCGGGGGGGGGTCACCTGGAAGCGGAGGGGATGGGGGTGGCGACGCAAGGGGTGGCAAAGGAATCCCGCCTATGGGGGAGAGAGGGTCTCACGGCCGCAACACGACACCGGGAGGCAGCGCCRGGGTTGCGGGTTTCGCCTTCGACCGGACTCCGTCAACAGGCACCCGGCCCGAGCACACGACACACTCCGCCGACCCCTAGACTTCGTCCGTGGGCTCAGCGAGGGACACGTTGGCAGCCTTGGTTGCTCTGGGCAGTCGCTCGTCCGAAAAACCGAAGTCCGCCGGGATCCGAACTACGTCGGGTGAGGAGCCGCCAGAACGGTCCGGAATGCGAAGCTGCTCGGGGTCGGGGAATCCAAGCAAGGATCGGAAAATTCGCAGCATTGCGGTGCAGGACGGAGACGTCGTCTGAGCGGGAGCAACGGCCGCAAGGATTGCAGCGGGAGGCTGCAAGTGCAGGGTCCGGCGACACAGAGACCATGAAGTCCGCGGAGATCCGAACTTCTTCGGGCGGGGTTTGTCGGCCAAGGATTGTCGTGCCGTTGAGAGGGGCAGCGTGCACGGGGACGGAAGGGCGGTCCTCGAGATTCGGCACGGGTACCGCGGAAGGGGACKAGTTTCGTGGGAGGGAAGTAGGGGAGAAAATGGAGGAACAGAAGGGAGCGCAAGAAGGGGAGGAAGAAGGGGAGGAAGCGGGAGAAACGGAGCTAATTGATTTGTTTGAAGGAAGAGAGGGTGCCGGGTCTGGAGAAGACGAAGTGGAACACAGTRAGGACGATGCCGGATCTGGAGAGTCGTCTGACGAGTTCGGATAACTGTATAGAGAGCATCACGAGGATGATGTCGACGACGATGCCACRACAAAAGAGATGGAGACAMAAGTGGTCACCAGCCTTTCCGCAGAGCCTGAAGATTATGCGGTCCGGCCACTGACGTYTGCTGTCGACTTGCAGCACCGGTTCGACGAGGCTTCCGTCGCTATCAACCCGTATGAATAAAGTCAACGTATAAGCATCGACGAAGTTATCGATGGTATCCTCGGCGACCACAACGTGTCTGCCCATCCGTCCGCAACTGCCAACGTCGCATCTTCCGTGGCAGTTGCCGTCGCTTCGTCGTCGCCGAAGTCTCTGGTGCTGCAGGCCACCCTTGCCGCCGAAGGGGAAGGCGAGTGCGGTGGAGGACAGCATGTGACGTCCTTAAAAWAATCGAGGTTCGGCRGTCAAGCTCTCGACGTGCTCGCTTTGCCTGCGCCAAATTCACCATCCAAGGAGCGGAGAGAGAAATWGACTGGTAAGCYGTGAAGAACGCCTGCGMATCCGGATGYCGCCGGATTACAGTCCGCGCTATACACAYGACRACTGTCCACACTATCTGTGCATACGGGARKTTCSGKATGCCAGCATGCTACAGCTAGCAGCCCTTCCTACTCCAGCTCGTCGGCCTATCTGTGACTCGGCCGGGTTGCTAGTCGAGGGCGGCGAAAACTTTGTCCAAAACCTTACACTCCATCGAAGGAAGGATCTTCCCCGGCTGAGGAAGTGGCCAAGGTGCTAAGAAAGTGGCCAAGTACATG